CACCGCACAGCACCGCACCGCTCCCGGCCCGGCCGGCGTGGTTCTCCCGGTGTGCGAGGTTCCAGGGCTTCCACGCCGCATCCCTAGGCGGGCCTTCGCGTCCCGGCCCGCCCGGCGGGGAAGAAAGTGGTTCTGCACGGCTGTGGAGGGGCTGAGCGTACCTTATTCTGGAATAGCGGCGCCGAGGGGTCGCTGCCTGCCCGCTCGGCTGCGCCCTGGGGTCCGCGCGTTAAGCGGGCTGCGAAGGTGAACTAGGGTGTCGGTGTCTCTGGGGCGCCAGGTGCGGCAGGTCCCTGAGAGGCGCTGCTTTCCCTGCGAGCCTCCGAGCTCCAGGTGGCCGGCTGGACGTCAGGCGAACGAGAGCGATGTTGCTACGTGATTTCAGGAAGAGGGGACGCTGCAGGTGAAAGGGGTCCTCGCCCAATGCCGGACGCTGCCGTGGCGGTCCTTCCACTACGCCCACACGAGAGGCCCGGTTCCATACGCGCTCAACCTGAGGTCCCTGCAGGGAGAAAGGGATCTTCCAGCCCACCGTGAAGTCTCGCGGGCGGGTGGGAAGCCCCCCTGCAGGCAGGAGCCCTAACGCGGAGGTCAGCCAGCCATACCTGGGATGAGGCTGCAGCAGGAGGCTCCTGCAGAAACAGGATGCCCGGGAGTGCGTAGGGCTCAGCGGAGCCCAAGGCGAGGTTGAGAGTTTTCTGCTTCCAGGCTTCCATCAGAGCTTAACTGGGCAAGTGCGGGTGTAGGCTCCTGGAAACGCCGCTGTGAGGGCAGGCCTGTGCCGCCCAGGTCTGCGGCTCACGTTGACTGCATGTGAGTGAAGCTACACCACCGTGACGTCACGCCCTGTGCTCTTACCCACAGCGGGGGTCAGTTGGCTCCCATCACTCACGCCTGCCTGGGAGTGTTGTGGAAGGAGCCTCTTGGCTGTATCTTTCCTAAAGTGCCCCCGTGGGAGATTTCTTTTGAGATCTAGGACAAAGGAAAAGGTTGCTTCCTTAGTAGTCTTCCTCTTTTCTGATCACGATGTTTACTTTCTAGGTATTATGATTTTAATTGTTTTGGTGTCTTTCTGTCTGGGTCTCCCTCTCTCTTTTGGTGGACTGCAAGTCTGGAGGTGTTCGGGAACCTCGCCAGGGGTGGGGACAGTGAGGGGGATCTGTGGGGTGTCCTTTGTGTGGTGTTCAGGCGTTCCTCAAGCAGTTTCCCATGACGAAGAGCAAGCTGGACCGTGTTCCCTGGAGTCACTGCACAGCCCGTGTCGAGCTGGCTCACAAGAGGTGGTCACCAGGAGGCAGATGCATGTGACAGGAACCTAGATCCACTGTGCTGAACTGGGAGGAAGCCTGCGCCCTGCTGCTGCTACGAGAGCTAAACTCATTCACGGGGTCCCCAGGCAACAGCACGGCGTAAGGACTCCCCACACTGACACTAGGAAACGGTTCTGCCTACAGATCAACCATTGCAATGACTGCAGCTGTTTAACTGCTTTCCCTTGTATTGCTCTGCACTTGTTTTAATATTTCTATGTTGGTCATTAATCGATGGTTAATTTAAAGAAAGAAATTATACGGAGCACCTGACACAGTACTGTTTGAAAGTATATGGCCTCAGATGGTGCTTGTGATGAGACGACTGCAGAGAGGTAGTCGGGACTCGTCCGGTTATATAGGGACAGAGTAGGGAGTGGGCACCGAGCCTGACGGGAAACACGCATGCAGACGGAGGCCCTCACAGCTCGGAACACTGCCGTTGCTTAGAACGATGCTGTCGGTACCTGAGTCTGGCAAAAGTTGCCGGAGGGCACATGCGCTCTCCAGAGAGGGAGACAGAATGGAAAGAGCATCCCCCCCAATGGAGTATAGTCATGACAGTTGTTTTTACCCCATTCCTCCTTCCCAGTGTGTTTTTCAAGCCTTCAGGACCAGGATTCTAATCGTGTTTGGCGATGTGAGACCCGGCTCCCCTTTTGTTTCTTTATTTCTTTTTTTTTTTAAGAGGTTTTTACTTTAGACCACATGTACTCACCGAGGAGAGAGAGAGAGAGCCAGAGACAGTGAGAGGGAAAGTGGAAAATTAGCCCCGCCAGGGGATGGCCATACCTCAGTCTCTTCTCCTCTGTCATCCTGGGGTCTTGGGTACACATGCACACGCATCAGGCATGATTTTAAAGCCTCAGGGTCTGGGACTCAAGCTGTAGGTGGCCATGTGGGAGCTAGTGACATATCTGCTATGCCAGCTCCTGGGCTGGGGCAGCTGGCTCCCCTAACACTGGTGCTCTGGGGCCAGCCAGTCGGTTTTCCAAAGTCTGCCAGCGGCATGGCCAGGCGCATGGGTGTCACCTAGTGAATGAGCAGTTACCAACGGCAACTGGAGAGATGCAAGCTTCCGAACAAACATGGTGGGAGGGGTTCAGCAGGTGGCTGGGCCCTTTGAAAACGGGAGCATAGTTTTATATCTAGTTTCAAACAGTCTAAGAGAAAGTATTAGGTCGTCAGGACAGTCATGGGCACTTTCAACGTCTTTCTATGCAAATAAAGCGCCGTGACTTTCCCTTCGACCCAGTAATGCATCGTCCAAGACTGCATCGAGGACACCCAGGAATGGGATAGCTCAAATAAGGGGACTGCAGGGCAGCCCCTTGGAGGAGGGGTTCGAAGCCGTGCATGCGCTGGAGCCCACGTGGCCGACCGCAGTTCTAGGCTCGGCGGCTCGGAAAACAGAAGAGACGGCCAAAATCCTGATGGCAGAGAAATGGAGGACAGGACCAGGGCATGGCCACACCCACTGGGGAGTGCTTTCTTGCTTTCTCTGGAAATATTTTCTAAAAGCAGAGGAAGAGTTTGGGAGTGAGGGAACTAACCATCCAGGAATGGGGAGCTGGCTCTCAGACGTGGGACTGTCAAGTCCGGTCCGAAGGCGACCAAGTCTTTTTCCCACCCCAGCAAGTTGGAGAGAGGATGTGTACCCCATTCCATCAAGTAGAACGTGTCCTACCACGCACATCCCATCGGCCACACCTGCAGCGAAGGAGGCCTGAAACACGTGGCCTGTCAGCGGGCGGCCACACAACCCAGGCACAGCCTCTGGGGCGCAGACGGTAGCGTACCAGGCTCTGGAGCCGGAAGTCACAGGCTGACCGCAGCTCAGATACCTGGCCACGTCAGCCTGGGACATACCAGCTGTACACATGTGCCCAGGATCCTGCCGGGCCGCAGAACCCAGAGGGGCCCTCGGGAGGCCAAGCCCTGGGAAGGGTGCTTCTCACACTGTCTTTCTCGTGCACACGCATCCTCTACTGTGAATTTAAAAATAGTTAAATAAAATGTAAATTGTTAAGAGGAAGGATTACAGGTATCTGGGAGCGTAGTCTGCCACAGTGTTTCCTGTTTTACATTGAAGCCAAAACTTTCGTGAGGCCTAGGGTGAAGTGTCACTGTCCTAAAGCGTGATAGGTCTCACAAGAGATACGGGGAACTACTCAGATTGAAGACAGTCTTTCCACACAGCCACGGGGGAGTAATCTCCAGTGCTGTCCTCGGAATGGAGGGGCAGTATAAAAGTGTATGAAACAGGACACGCAATAGTGACCTCCCTGTTAAATCTAAGAGAATCTGTGACACACTTGTCATCTACAAGGGGTCTTCAAAAAGCTCCTGGAAAAATGTGTATTACATAAAAACTATGTTGAGTGCGCTTGAAGGGGCATCGCAATAAATGCATGCTTTAATTCCATTTTCCACAAACTTTTTGAAGCCCTCCCCATGTATGTATTATGCTGTAAAACTATGAGAAACTATTTTTTAGTTGTGTCCACATAAATTACTGGAAGAGGACAGAAAAAATATTTGTAATTGTGTTCAAGATACTGTGGTTGGTTGTCTATGTGGTTTTCTATAACATTCATTAAGAACTAAATAGACGCTTATATATTTCTTATATGTATAATTTTAGCTTAAGGCACAAAGAACGTGCTCAGTATACTCCAAAGTCAGGCTCAGGCTTTAGCCCCAAAGCAAAAGCTAAAACAGCAGCCCCTGAGTTCTTCGTGTGTCTTTTTAGGCTTTGGTAAATGTCTTCTTCAAGTATTTGAAGACCTTCGTGCTAGGGTTTTATAGTTCCTTGTGTTTTCTCAACACACCTATAAGCCACATTTACCTACAACACTTCTACACCAAATATGTAGGGCGTTATCCCCTGTCAACCTAAAACGAGACCACTGAGGCAAAGCAAGTTTAAAGCCAAAGGCTTCATTGGGCAAGGTTAGGATGGTCACCTAGACACCACAAAACCCAGTCCGCCCCGATAATGCTGCAATCAGGGGCAGGGAGATGCGACAAGGAGCCTTGTACAGCAATGGCCAAGGAAATTCTATGGGACAGACCTCCTGATAACCTGGAGTCACTGCTTAATCTTGCTTAATCTTAAGTAAAGTGTGTAGTCAGTCTGAATGATTCATAAGACAAAAACGTCCATGGGGCTGGCAGGTGGCATGTGGTTAAGGGCGCTGGACTCTCTCATGACCAACTGTGGTTCAAGTCCTGGACCTGGTGGCTTGCTTGCTCTCTCTCTCTCTCTCTTTGTCCCTCTCTGGTCAAATTAAAATAAACCAATAAATCAATACGGTTAAACATAATAGTCCTTTTTGTTTGAAAAAAAAAAAAAAAAGCCCAATGAGTCTAGGTAGAATCTCGAGCTATTTCAGGTGCACATTCCTGAGAAAGCCACAAGATAAGCGTAAGTCTTATTTCTTTACACTAACTTAGACTAGAATTGCCAGTTTCCAGGAAAAGCGGGTCTCTGAGAGATCTATCAGCCTCTCTAAAGTTTCAGCTTGATGATGTGACATTTTAGCATGAGTGACTCCATTTTGGTCTGGACTGTTGGGCCTTGAGACAGGAGCGCCATCCAAAACCAGTGTCTTGTAACCTTGATTTGACATCCCACAGCAGCCAATTCTGTGACACCAGCTGGGTGTCCCATTAGACTACCCCAACTCAAATGCCACTTGTAAGTCCCAGATCTCCTGTACTTTTTTTTTTTTTTCTGTAGGGTGTGTGCACTCACCAGAAAGACAGAGACAGAGAGATAGACAGAGAGAAATCTCCCCCCCGGGGGGATGGCCACGCCACAATCCCTTCTCCTCCATTCTCTTCTTGGGATCTTGGGCACACATGCACACGTGCCCGGTGTGAGTTTAAGCCACCGAGTCCAGGACTCGAACTGCAGTCAACTACATGGGAGTTAAGCGACATAGCCATTATGCTAACTGCTGACCTCATGTACTTCTTACCGACCATCTACAAGTTGGGGTTTTCCCAACCCCGCTTGGGTTTGATAATTTGCTGGAATCAGCTCACAGACTGAGGAAAATGTTGCTTACATTATCAGTTTATTACAAAGGATGTTATGAGGAGGATGCTTGTTAACAGCCAGAGGAAGGCCCAGAGGGCTGGAGAGGGGAGCTTCTGCCCTGTGGAGTTGGGGTGTGCCACCCTCCGAGCAGTGGATGTGCTTGCCAGCCCTACAGCTCTCCCAAGCCCGTGGTTTAGGGTTTCTATGGAAAGTCCCACTACACAGGCAAGATGGATTAAGCCATGGGCCATGGGGGACTGAACTCCATCTTCTGCCCCTCTCCCTCCCTGGAGGTCAGGGTTGGGGGGTGGTCCTGAAAGTTCCAACCTTACAATTACAGGGTTGACTTCTCCTGAAGAGTGGAGTGTGGTTGCCAGGGGTGTGTTATGACTAACAAAAGCACTCCTCACCTCTCCATAGGGAAGCCCCGAGGGCTTGGGAGCTGTGCTGGGAACAAAGGGTCATGAGCAGGTATAAATACAGGTATACATTTCTACGTATGCTTCTGAGCACGGTGGGCTGCCTGGTGGGCTGCCTGCTTAGCCGCGTTCCCCTTCACAGTTTTCCGACTTTGCAATCGGCCTATCTAAAGTAGCCCCGTCCTGAAGTCAGCACCTGGATTTGCCATGGTCTAGTGATTTTATAGGGGCATCAAATCCATCTTCAGCCTCCAGCCTTGGCCGTCTACACTGGTCTATGGACAGGTTCCTATCAGGAGTCGAGTAACATCTTCTATTACATCACGGGCCCCTAGGGGCCTCCTCTCCTGCAGTCTTCTTCCCACCTGGCTGAGTACTCACCTCCAAGAGGGAGACAGTGCACGTCAGTCCCAGAAAATCCCATCTCCAGTAAGCCTCACCGACGGACAAGTCCCCAGGGAGAGCGGGTTAGAAGACACCCTTTCTCTCCCTCTGGCCGCAGGTCCTTTTTGCCTCTGAACTGCAGTCCACCCGCTGGTCGTAGGTCATAGTCGTAGGTCCCATTGTAAGTGCCAGCGTGTGCCCCTGGGAGCGCCGTCTCACTGGAGGAAGGCAGTAGGTGTTACGCAGGCAACGCCTCGAGGCTCCCCGTGCAGCAAGTACACAACCAATGAGTTGCGAAGCCAAGAAGCAAACTTGCCTCCCAAACCTGAGTCCTAACGACTTCGTCTTGTCTGCTTTTCCCAGATGACCATCAGTGCTGGGTGCTCTCCCCCGCTCCCTCACCCCATCAGGAAGCATTTCCTCGGTCCCCTGCATTATTCTCTTGCTTGGAAACATGACCCTCTGCACTGGCTCCTGCACAGCACTGCTCAGACACTGCCTTCCCTCACTGCCTTGGCTGCCGTCCCATACACACACACACACACACACACACACACACACACACACACACACACGCCTGAACAGGCCCTGAGGGTACGTGCCATGACCTTGTCAGGGTGGGAGGAGAGACTGTGGAATGACATTTAAAGGTTACGCAGCTTTGGGGGGCGCTGATGGGGTTTTCTAAATCAGCCATTGCCATGCGTAAAGGGACTAGAGAGTTTACGTTAGTCAGTTCCAGCAGACGTGACGAGTACTAGCGACTGGGGTGTTTACACCACAGACATTGACTTCCTCACAGTTCTGGAGGCTGGAAGTCCAGGAGCAAGGAGCC